ATAATCACAGATTAACCAAGACATCTGGTCTCTGGCCAGTGTTAAGAGTCTGGGTGTCTGCTATCACGACTGCACATCATGACTCAGCTCCTTGCAGAATGAATATCCAGGTGGGGTCAATCCAGAGAAAGCTCGACTTCTAACCCAGAAGCTCTTAGGTATAAACGGAGAAGATGAGATGCCTTAATGTACTAGAGAAAGTGAAATACAACCAAAATAACATTAAGTTTTTGTTGTTTTTCACTTCCAAGTGATACCTCTCTCCTCTTCACCAAAACAAAAAGTAGTAAAACCCAAGAAATATACAAGAAACCAGAGGATGAAATTAGAATTTAAAGTTGACCAAACAGGATTCAGAATAACATCATGAAAGAAAACAGGAAATAAAAAAACCCTATAACATCAATATATAGTTCACTACAATGCTTCCTAAATGTTTCCTTACCTTTACTTAAATAACATTAAACTATTAGATTGCTAATGTTTGTAAATATATATACATATTAGCTGTAAGGAACTATAAACGAAAATTTAAAAACCTTTCTCACTTTGAAAATATTTCTCTTTCAAAGTGATTTAACCTTTAGTTTGCTTGATATAATCAAATAAAAACCTCAAAAAAGAGAATTTTCCAAATAGTATAGCATAAACTAAAAAGGCAAAGTTTACACATTACCCAATCCTCCAGATTCCTTCTCCCCAAGCCAAAGCAATCATGATTAACAGTTTTTTAGGATACTTGCTTTTTCCACCAATGTTGCCTTCATTTTTCCATATCAGCCCATGTAAATCTACCTCATTTGTGTTAGTGGCTAGATAGGACTCCTTTTTATGTCAAGATACACCGTAACTAATTTTAGCTGGCCCCACATGAAGGGATATTCAGTTAGTTTGCCTTTATGTTTTGTGTGGCAACTACATACGAGGCAGTGATAGATATCCCTGCTCATTTAGCATGGAATACTTGTAGCTAACATAGCTTTAGAAAAAAAATCCTAAACATAGAATTCCTGGGTCAAAAGGTAAATGTACTTGAAATTGCATTTTCTTTTCCCACACTACACCACTGTAGTACTTGAAATTTTAAAAGATGGTGCCAAATTACACTCCAAAATCATTAAATAAATTTACATTTCCACTAAGTAAATATGAGCATTCCACATCTCCAACATGGCATTATCAAACTTTTTTTCAAACAAGTCTGATACTTTATTTTCACTTAAGTGAGTCTTAGAATCTTTTCACATTTTTATTGGTTGCTTCTTCTTTTTTCCCATAAATGGCATGTTTCTATTTTGCCAGTCTTTATACTAGATTGCTATTCTTTCTTCTTACTGACTTTAAGATATCTTTCCATATTTAGGAAATTTGTTCTCAACATACCTGCTACAAATATACTTTTTCCAAGACTATGTCTATTAATTTAATCTAAATAATGCTTTTTGCCATGTGTAATTTAAAATTTTATAAAATCAAATTCCTTCATATCTTTTAATTTTATATAACCAAATGCCTTCATATCTTTCTAGCTTTTGTACATTGCTTTTAGAAATTAGTTTCACACATAAGATAATAAATATACTGACCCTGTGAATTCTTCTAATACTTTTATAGTTCCATTGACCATCTAGAGTTCATTTTAGGCTATAGAAAAAGGTAGAAAATACTAGTTTTGTTTTGCTTTTTCCCCTATTGGAGGAGCTTTCCAGTTTTCCAAGACCATTTGGTAAATAATCCATTTCTTCTATCTACTGATATGAAGTGTCATCGTCACTATGGTCATCACCATCAAATTATAAAAGTCTAAGCATGAATTGTCTCTTCTGTTCTATTACTTCATCAATTCTTGCACAGGCACACATTCTTTATTACTGTAACTCTATTACACCCTTAAAATTTTGGTAGGGCCCTAATGACACTTTTCCTCTAGAATTCTCCTTGCTACTCTCATATTTATTTTCTAGAAGAAATATAGAACTCTCTTTTTTTAACTTCTCCCCCTAAGTTTTGAGGAGATTATAATTGGAACTGTTCTTAATTTATACACTAATTTAAGAAAAAATCTTACGGGCTTTGAATTTTAAGTCTTACCATTCATTAGCTGTAAGCACTAGCAGTGGTAGCAATGGTAGTAGTAATAAACATGATTATAACTAATTTTTGTTGAGGACTATATGTCAAGCCTGTTTGATAACCTCATGGTGTCATCTCCATTTCACAAATGAGAATATTAAGGCTCAGAGTGTTAAGCAACTTGCCCAAGGTCACAACCACAACTGAGATTTTAATCTGCATAATTTGACTTGAGTTTACACTATGAATTGAAGAAGTTTAGCACAGTAATTACAAAAAGGTGTGCCTCTTCCTCCAAAGCTACAAATATTAACACAACATTATCATTAGTACGAAGTCACCACAAGTATTCTAGCCAGGCATGGCTCTCTATGCAGATGGCACTGTGAAGTGAAGTACTCACGGATATACACCCATCCCAAATCCCCAGACTTTCTTGTTGCTATATATTGGTTCACCCCAATGCAGAGATCTGCAGCAATAATCAGATCATGGGAGCTGAGAGTAAGAGATGATGAGAATACTGACATGTAATTGATATCTAAAGCAGAGAAACCATTTAAGCATTGCCATTTATTAATATATAGATAGTAGTGCATATACACACGTACACACTAGAAATACATTCACATAAGAAGTTGAATGCTCAATGGATTTTTAACTGCACAATCAAACATATTTGAAATTTATCTATGTAGAACATCCCAACCCTCCTCCCTCAAAAGAGTTGATCAGAGGAATGAAGACAACAAACAAAATTATTAGCTTTTGGTTTACAAAATAAGCTCCTGAGATCTCAAGGCAGAGATTTTACTTTGAGACAACCAAATTTTGAAGTCTTAGTTTGAGACCCAAATGCCAAATCCCTAAAGATATATTCACTTTAGGGATATGGGAAGAACACATGAGACTAGCCCAGCTCTGGCTTCCTTAATAAAGATGGCTTCTTCCCCGCAAGAAGAAGATTGATGGTACCATAAAAGGTAGAGAGCATTCCTGGTGAGAGGCTTCTCTGGCCTTTGGTTGGGAAACATCAAATAAGGTATGTCTTTCATATATTCAACTGTCTCTCCCAGCAACTTTTCGTTTTCTTCTCATAGTCCCTTCATATTGTTTCTGCTAATTCCTAGGTAAACTTAGTTGCTATTTTAATTGGGACCTCTTCTTCCATTATATTTCTAACTTATTATAGTATTTATAAGAGAAAACTATCATTTTAAAACATTAACTTTGAAAGTGACCACCTTATGAAATTCCTTTGTCTTTCATCTTTTAGTTGACACTGTAAGTCTTCCATGTAATTAACCATATCATAGGCAAATACTTACAAATGCAATGTATTCTTTCTAATACTTATATTTCTCAATGTCTAACTGAATTAATCTTGCATGCTTTAGTAATGTTATATTATTGGTTTGATGTACTACTAGATTTCATTTGTAATAGTTTCTCTATGGTCATTGCTTACATGAGATTAGTCTACAGTTTTATTTTGTATTTTCCTGAAATATGTGATATTGTTGGTTGTGCCAATTTCATAGCTTTCCTCTTATTCCTATGCTTTGGAACAGTTTGACTAGCATCAAAATAATCTTATCCTTTAAAATTAAAATAACTCATTTGTGAAACCAGCTATGTTTAGTGGTTTTAAGATACTTGCTGAATTTCTTCTTCCATGGTGATTGTTTGGATTCTCTCTTCTCTGGGGCCAATTTTGTTGATTTATATTTTTCTAGTAAATCATTTGGATTTGTTTTAAATGCTACCGAGTAATTCCCTTACTTGCATACAAACTGCAGTAATCTTGTCTCTTTAAAAAGGAAAAATATGAGCAAACATATAAATCAACATTATTGGAAAACACCCAGGATAGGTTAAATGAGTCAAACTGGGAGCAAAATACTGGTAGATAGCATTTAATTCAGAGATTTTGGAAAGAAACCTTTAAATAGGGCTTTAAAAGTGATGAAGTGCTAGTAGGGTGTTTATATCCAGAGAACTGTAAGTAAAAGAGAATCTAAATCAATACTACCATGAATTGTTTTAAAAGTGCATATTTCTTGCTACAATGTAAGAAATGGCTTTCAGTTAGATAATTATAGTATATGTCTTAAGTATCTGGAAAATGTAACTGGGAAAAAAACACAAAATTGTGTGAAATGTTTTAAGTATTACTACTCCAGTTACCTAACTCGAAAAGTAGGATAAGTATCAAAGTACAAAGTGGTGTTCCTCTAATTTATTTATTTGAAACATTATTATTCAAACATTTAATGACCACTTACTATCAGATGGACACCTTGTCAGAGTTAGAAAAACAGCTTAGACATGGTCCCTTGGCTCAAAAAATGTATTACCCTCATCCCTAGTTTCAATATGACGTAATACTCCATGGTTATATATAACACAACCTCAACATATAGAAACAGGCCCTCTAGAACTTTGCTTCACAAACCAGTAAATACAAAATAGTTGAAAATTAAATATCAAACATAAAACTACCAATATAAATATCTATAAGTTTTGAACTGCTCTCACTATTCTGATATTTAATATTCATTTAATATGAATATTAAATCCTGATATCTCAAATTGGATATCATTTTCCTTTCTATAATACTTTAAGAAAAGACAGAAGTCTGAAACTGCTCTGAGACCACAGCTTTGAACAGAGGGTCAGAAAAAGGGAAAATAAATACCCTTTCTACAATGCATAATGAAACAGGGTATTAACAATAAGCTCACTTAAAAAAACTGTATGCATCAAAAGGATCCTTTACACTATTAGAATGCTAATAACCAACAAAAAGTTAATATTCATATCGTACTCTGAAAAAAAACTTATCTATAAACACTACACACTAGAAACACTATCAAAATATAAGCAGTAAGAAAGGTGGAAGTGCTCTGATGTGGTACAAACCTACCTGTGCACATGACTCTTCAGGTGTTTTGGCACTAACTGAATAAAGTGCTGGGAGATCTAGTCTATGCACAGAGAATCTTTCTAGAGTGTGCAAAAGTGCTGGAGCAAGGTGAGAAGTTTGACCTGAGCCCCGTTCTCCAGATAGCAATAACCGTGGCCTGTAAGAGGTTGGCTGATGATATGGTGACCTGTAATACATGTAAAACATAATTATTTCAAAATCATATGCTCTGATATGAAATATCAGCACAATTTTTGATTTAAAACAATTCTATATTTTCTATATTATTTTAGTACTTAGAATTTAGTACTTAGTATTTAGTATTTAGAACTTTCCTATATTATTTTAGTACGGTATTTATTTTTTCATTAATCATGGTTTTAAAATGTTGATATCTCTGATCATATTAATAACGAAAATATAAAAGTATAAAATCCACTTTAAAATAAAATAACCTTGGTATTCCTGCTATCATACCATATATATTAAATTGAAGATGCGTTAAACTCCAGTATCATTTAGTTATTAATTACCCAAGGTTAAAGAATCTTACTTTTTTGACAAACAGGTAGATCTGAAGATAATTCCAAATGTAGGATTCATTTAACAGGCAGAGCCTGTAGGAGGTGATTAAGTCATAAGGGGTCAGGTCAGCCCTCATGAATGGATTAGTTATATTATCAAGCCCTTTGATAATATAACTAGCTAGCTAGTCCCTTCGATCCCTTCTGCCTTGTGAGGACATTGTTGTTACCCTCCAGAGGAAGGAGCATTCAAGGCATCATCCTAGAGGTAGAAACCAATCCCTCACCAAACACCAAATCTGCCAGAAGCTTGCTCTCAGACTTCTGGCCTCCGTGAGTAATAAATTTATGTTGTTTATGTTCTCACTCATAAGTGGGAGTTGAACAATAAGAACATATGAACACAGGGAGAGGAACATCACACACTGGGGCCTGTTAGGGGGCAGGTTGGGTGAGGGGATAGGGGAGGGATAGCATTAGGAGAAATACCTAATGTAGATGACAAGCCACTGGGTGCAGCAAACCACCCTACACATTCTGCACATGTATCCCAGAACTTAAAGTATAATAAACAAATAAATAAATAAATTTATGTTGTTTATAAATTACTCCATTTACAGTATTTTGTTACAGCAGCAGGAACAAACTAAAACAACCACAATTTTTAAAATAACAAATTTATATATATATATTTATGTATATATATATACACACACACACACATACATACATATACATATACATACATATATATATAAACTCCTTCCAAAAGATGACATCTAAAGCCCCATACCAAAGAAGGAAAATATATTAAACCAACTTGACTTATAATTTCAAGATTCTACAGCACCATTAAAATAACAAATGAGACAAAATTTACTCTCACTGTGGGTTGTACTAGACATTCTAAGCCAATGCAGTAAGAATAAAGCAAATTTAAAATGGAATTAATACGGTGGCTCACGCCTGTAATCCCAGCACTTCGGGAGGCCGAGGAGGGTGGATCACGAGGTCAAGAGATTGAGACCATCCTGGTCAACATGGTGAAACCCCGTCTCTACTAAAAATACAAAAAATTAGCTGGGCATGGTGGTGCGTGCCTGTAATCCCAGCTACTCAGGAGGCTGAGGCAGGAGAATTGCCTGAACCCAGGAGGCGGAGGTTGGGGTGAGCCGAGATCACGCCATTGCACTCCAGCCTGGGTAACAAGAGCAAAACTCTGTCTCAAAAAAATAAAATAAAATAAAGAAAAAGAAAATGGAATTAATAGAAAGCAAAAAGGGAAAAATTTGATACTTGTAAAGGATGACTATGTAGTAGCAAATTCAAGAAATCAACCAAAAACTATCAGAATCTACCAGCAAAGTAACAAGACAGAAGAAACAGAAAAATCAATAGATTTCCTAAACATCATCAATAACCAATGTGAAAAAGGAAAGGAAATCTTATTCACAACTGCAAAAAAAAATTAGAAAGGTAAAACAAACATTATCAAATTATAGTCTTTGCAAGAAAAGAGTGAAACTGAGCCTGAACACAAAGACTAAATATATAAACAGGTCAATTCTTCCTAACCCATTTACTTTTTTCATACACATAGGATTTTCAAGTCCAAATTCCAAAAGAATTTTTGGGAGGAGCAGAGTTTCAACTTATTCACAACTTTAACTGAAAGAATAATCAAGTAAAATTACCAAGAAAACTTCTTAAAAACATGCTAACAATTTTAATGCAAACATGTTTAGTAGCAAGCAATTTATTGAGATTTCTTGTTCAATTTTCTTAACAATTTTGTGAAACATAGTTTCATTTTATTAAACAGATGAGAAACCAGGGCTCACAGAGGTTAGCTATAAGTTGTATAACCAGGTGAAAGAGTTCAAATTGTCATTCAAGCCCATTTGATTGCAAGGCCTGGATTCTGAACCCACTATGTTAAGATATGTCCTACTTTATACTGAAACATATTATAGAATAACAATTAATAGAATGTAAAATACACCAAAAAAAAAAAAAAAAAAGGCATCCTAGGAAATGATTAACTGTAATGGAAAGAATTTCACATAAGAAAAGAATCCGGTGCTCCCAGTAAATGAGATGCAGAGGGCTAGAGGACTTCACAATTCACAATTCCAAGTTAGGTGCCGGTGGAACTGCAGTGGAACTGGTAGAATTCTGAAAATAGCCCAGGGAAGGTGAGCCGAGAAGCAGGGTGAGTGCAGCCCAGGGAGGACTGACTGAGACAGGGTAGGGCGCAATCCCACCTGGAAAGTGCAGCCGGCTCGGAGGGTCGGGGACTTCACCCCCTCAGTCCTCCGATTCAGATCCTGTGGTTCCCTCATCCCTCCTGCAACCCACGGTCCACAAGAGCCCCGGCGGAATGAGGGGCGCCGTGGGTTGTCAATGCAAATCTGAGCGACGGCTCCAGCCTGGAGTCGCAAGCTGGCACAGACCTGGGCGGAAGTGTGGACTAACACCAGCAGGAGGAAACTACCTTTCCCACAGAAAGAGGCAGAGTTGAAAGCAGGGAAACAGGCTTGGCCTGGCAGGCCTGACCCCCTCCCCACCCCCAAAACTCAAACTGAAGCCCAAGCGATAGAGAGCTTCCCAGCGAAAACAACAGTTTGATCCCAACCAGGAAGATAGAGTTCTGGGAAGCAAAGAGGTCATTGGGAAGGCGGGGCTAATTTAACCTGCATAAACAAATTCTGGGGAAGACCACCCACCTATCAACCTGACTGAATCCGAGGCAGCCCAGCAGCGCCTCCACAGGCCAAAAAGATACAGCTCCAACCTCAACAAAAAGCAGGTACACTCAAGAGATTCCTCCCCAAATCACCAACTTCAAAGATCAAAGGCAAATAAACCCACAAAGACAGGAAACAACCAGCGTAAAAAGGATGAATCCATCAAAGACCAGAACACCTCTTCTCCTCCCAGGGATCACAGCTCCTTACCATCAAGGGAATAAAACAAGACAAGAGAAAGAGTTTGATGAACTGACAGAAGCAGGCTTCAGAAGGTAGGTAATAACAAACTTCTCAGAGTTAAAAGACCATGTTCTAACCCAGTGCAAAGAAACTAAGAGCCTTGAAAAAAGGTTAGATGAAATTCTAACTAGAATAACCAGCATAGAGAAGAACATAAATGACTTACTCGATGGAACTGAAAAACACAGCACGAGAACTTCGCGAGGCATACACAAGTTCTAACAGCCAAATCAATCAAGCAAGAGAAAGGATATCAGAGATAGAAGATCAAATCAATGAAATAAAATGAGAAGGCAAGACTAGAGAAAAAAGAGTGAAAAGAAATGAACTATGGGATTATGTGCCCTAATCTACGCTTGATCGGCATACCTGAATCTGACGGGGAGAATGAATCCAAGCTGGAAAACACTCTTCAGGACATTATCCGGGAGAACTTCCCCAACCTAACAAGGCAGGTCAATATTTAAATCCAGGAAATATAGGGAACACCACAAAGATACTCCTCAAGAAGAGCAATTCCAAGGCACATAATTGTCAGATTCACCAGGGTTGATATGAAGGAAAAAATCCTAAGGGCAGCCAGAGAGAAAGGACAAGTCACTCACAAAGGAAAGACCATCAGACTCACAGTGGATCTCTTGGCAGAAACACTACAAGCTAGAAGGGAGTGGGGGCCAATATTCAACATCCTTAAAGAAAAGAACTTTCAACCCAGAATTTCATATCTGGCCAAACCAAGCTTCATAAGTGAAGGAGAAATAAAATCCTTTACAGACAAGCAATTGCTGAAAGATTTCATCACTACAAGACCTGCCTTAAAAGAGCTCCTGAAGGAAGTACTAAACATGAAAGGAACAACCAGTACCAGCCACTGCAAAAATGTACCAAATAGTAAAGAACAATGACGCAATGAAGAAACCACATCAACTAATGGGCAAAACAACCAGCCAGTAACAAAATGGCAGGATCAAATTCAAACATGACAATATTAACATTGAATGTAAATGGCCTAAATGGCCCAATCAAAAGACACAGACTGGTAAACTGGATAAAAAGTCAAGACCCGTCGGTATGCTGTATTCAGGAGATGCATTTTTTTAAATTGCATTTTGGGTTTTGGGGTACATGTGAAGAACATGCAAGATAGTTGCATAAGTACACACGTGGCAGTGTGATTTGCTGCCTTCCTCCCCTTCACCTATATCTGGCATTTCTCCCCATATCGCTCCCCAACTCCCCACCCCCTGCTGTCCCTCCCCTATTCCCCCCAACAGACCCCAATGTGTAGTGCTCCCCTCCCTGTGTCCATGTGTTGTGTTCTCACTGTTCAACACCAACCTATGAGTGAGAACATGCGGTATTTCATTTTCTATTCTTGTGTCAGTTTGCTGAGAATGATGGTCAGGAGACCCATTTTACATGCAAAGACTCATATAGACTCAAAATAAAGGGATAGAAGAAGATTTACCAAGCAAATAGAGAGCAAATAAAAGTATGGGTAGCAATCCTAGTCTCTGATAAAATGGACTTTAAACCAACAAAGATCAAAAGAGATAAAGAAGGGCATTAAATAATGGTAAAAGGATCAATGCAACAAGAAGAGCTAACGATCCTAAACATATATGCACCCAATGCAGGAGCACCTAGATACATAAAGTTCTTAACAACCTACA